CTCCAAATGGCACTTTCTCAGGCGACTGTTTCTTTCTTTCTCTCCGGCATCACGCGTTTCTCTCTCCCAAACTCTGACTCATTTATCCTGAGCTCATAATCAGAGAATGCCCAGCTCAGAAATGAGCCGATGGGGTGCCGTGCATGAAAACCGGTTTTGTCTGTGTGAAAGAAAGCACTGTGGAAGTTTTGCATGATTTTGCAGTTGGTTCTCCCATATATGTATATTGCCATTTATTGTTAGTTGCCAAATTCTAATTTGTGGAAATCTTTGAGATCTTTTTAAATTGTGCTTTTTGTCTTCTGTCCTCATTCACTTTTATTGTCAAAAATAGTTTTTTGAAAGAAAGGATAGTGTAATTATCAGTTTTAAGTAGTGCTGTCAAACGATTAATCGTGATTAATCGCATCCAAAATAAAAGTTTTTGTTTACATAATATATGCGTTTCTACTGTGTATATTTATTATGTATATATAAATACAAACACATGCATGTATATATTTCAGAAATGTTTTTGTTTATATAATAAATATATTTATTTATAATATAAATTATATGAATATAAATATAGACATGTAAATATTTTCAAAATACTGTGTGTATTTATATATACATAATATATTAACACGGAACATATACTATGTATAACACATATATTATGTAAACAAATCTTTTATTTGGGATGCGATGAATCGCGATTAATCGTTTGACAGCACTAGTTCAAAGTGAACCTTTGCTTACAATAAGTACAAATTAGGGCTGGACAATAATTCAATATCAATATGTATCGCGATATAATTCTTTTCAATAACGGTGATATGATTTTTAAACACATTTCCGATATTTCGATATACATTATTAGTGTTTACCATACATTGATTTATTTGTGGCGTTTGACTTCGTTGAATAAACATGAGCACTGCACGTTTCAAAATCAAAACGCGTCGCGGGTGTTTTATATGAATGTATCTCTGAAGGGAACCGACTGTCTTCAGAATAGTTTCGATGGCATTTTTAACTGATAAAGTAGCGTTCATGAGCGGAGCTGCTTTGTTTACAGCCGTTACTGGAGAAACCG